CAGCGGCTCTGCCCCTCCTCCAATTGGGGCAATGTGCCTACCACGCCGGCAGGCCGCTGGGCCTGCTCTGCCGGTCGGTAGCAGGTCCGCCGACCTTGCAGGCGCGGGCGGCGGCTCTGTCCCTCTGCAGGCCGCTAGGCTTGTTCTGTCGGTGGTCGCAGTTCTGCCTACTTTGCAGGCGCAGGCAGCGGCACTGCCCCTCTGCAGGCCTCTGGGGCTGTACTGCCAGTGGGTCGCAGGTCCACCTACCTTGCAGGAGTGATTGGAAGCTCTGTCCCGCCGCGGGCCACTGGGCCTTTTCTGTCGGTGGTCACAGTTCCACCTACCTGGCAGGAGCGGGGGGTGGGGGGCGGCTCTGCCCCTCAGCAGGCCGCTGGGCCTGCTCTGTGTGTGGTCACAGTTCCCTCTACCTTGCCGGTGCAGGGGGAGGGGGCGGCTCTGCCTCTCAGCAGGCCGCTGCTCCTCTTCTGCCAGTGGGTCGCAGGCTCGCCTACCTTGCAGGAGTGATTGGAAGCTCTGTCCCGCCGTGGGCCACTGGGCCTTTTCTGTCGGTGGTCACAGTTCCCCTACCTGGCAGGCGCGGGGGGTGGGAGGCGGCTCTGCCCCTCAGCAGGCCGCTGGGCCTGCTCTGTGGGTGGTCACAGTTCCCTCTACCTTGCCGGCACAGGGGGAGGGGGCGGCTCAGCCTCTCAGCAGGCCGCTGCTCCTCTTCTGCCGGTGGGTCGCAGGCCCGCCTACCTTGCAGGAGTGATTGGAAGCTCTGTCCTGCCACGGGCCACTGGGCCTTTTCTGTCGGTGGTCACAGTTCCCCTACCTGGCAGGCGCGGGGGGTGTGGGGCGGCTCTGCCCCTCAGCAGGCCGCTGGGCCTGCTCTGTGCATGGTCACAGTTCCCTCTACTTTGCCGGCGCAGGGGGAGGGGGCGGCTCAGCCTCTCAGCAGGCCGCTGCTCCTCCTGACCTCTACTTTTTGCAGTGTTGTTGTGCTGCACCAGTTCTACATCTTAACAAAATGTAGCTGCACTAGGTCAGTCAGGTTATAGATTTAACTATCTGGTAAAAATTAATTACCTCAAGGATTAATGAGTGATAATGGTTTCAAATATGTCTTCTAATACCTAGGCCTGAAATGCCCTAACCCGGAGGAAAACTGATTAGAAATATCAAGTGGCATTTATAATCTATGTAACTTTTTTTTAATTTGTATTTTTAATTGTTTTTATCAAAATTACTCATGAGAATTCCTTAACACAAGACTTCTGAAACTTTTTTTTATTATGAATCATATAGGGATATAATTAACATTGCAGATTCTAAACCAAGAATCTAGATATGGCTTCATGTTCTAAATTTTTCAAAATCCCAGATTGTGTTTCTGCGGCTGCTTCAAAAATTATATTTTAGGAGGAAATTTTAAACAACATGCAGACATAGCTCTAATGGCAGTGAAACCAGTAGTTATCCATGTAATTGATTCTGATCAAAGGGGTTTTTTTTGTTGTTGTTGTTTTTTAAATTTTTTTTATTTGTTCTAATTAGTCATACATGATAGCAGGATGCATTTCTTTTTTTTATGGCATAACTTTTTTATTTTTTATTTTTTTTAATTTTTATTGTTGGTTGTTCAAAACATTACATAGTTCTTGATATATCATATTTCACACTTTGATTCAAGTGGATTATGAACTCCCATTTTTACCCCATATACAGATTGCAGAATCACATCGGTTACACATCCACTTATTTACATATTGCCATACTAGTGTCTGTTGTATTCTGCTGCCTTTCCTATCCTCTGCTATCCCCCCTCCCCTCCCCTCCCCTCCCCTCCCCTCTTCTCTCTCTACCCCATCTACTGTAATTCATTTCTCCCCCTTGTTTTTTTTCCCTTACCCCTCACTTCCTCTTGTATGTAATTTTGTGTAACCTGAGTGTCTCCTTCCATTTCCATGCAATTTCCCATCTCTCTCCCTTTTCCTCCCACCTCTCATCCCTGTTTAATGTTAATCTTCTTCTCATGCTCTTCCTCCCTACTCTGTTCTTAGTTACTCTCCTTATATCAAAGAAGACATTTGACATTTGGGATTGGCTAGCTTCACTTAGCATAATCTGCTCTAATGCCAAGCAGGATGCATTTCAATTCATTGTACACAAATGGAGCACAACTTTTCATTTCTCTGGTTGTACAAGATGTTGAGTTGTACCACATGTACAATCATACATGTACCTACCATAATGATGTTCACCTCATTCCACCATCTTTCCTGCCCCCATTCCCCCTCCCCTTCACCCAATTAAAGTTCTTCCATTCTCCTCTCACTGATGGATCAGCATCCACATATCAGATAGAAGTGGTTTTAACCTAATCACAACACACAGAAACCAACATAAAATTCATGCCTAGGTTTTCAATCTTAAGTATCTTTTTTTAAAAAAAAGTATTTGTTAAAACTTGCTACTTCTTGGCCTGAGGTTGTAGCTCAGTGGTAGAGCACTTGCCTAGCATGTGTGAGGCACTGGGTTCGATTCTCAGCACTGCATATAAATAAATAAAGGTAAATTGACAACTAAAAATTTTTTTTAAAAGAAAAATAACCTCACAACTTCTCAATCATTAATATAAAATGTATGAAACTGATATGTAACATTTTTAAGCAAAGACATTTATTAAAGCTGTCAAATATATTTGTAGTACCATTAAACTTCTGTCGATTTTACTGAGGGCTTTCCATAAACATGAGACGCATAAGCCACACACTATGGACAAATAGTATAGATACACTAAAGTATTAGGGCAGCTGAGCACAAACTGTGTATACAGTCTTGGTTCAAATCATTGCTACTTACTAGCTATATGACCTCTGGCAAGTGGCTTAACCCATGTAAACGTCAGGTTCCTCAACTACAAAATGGGGGTAACAATAGAAAATTATTAGAACTAAATGAAAAAGGGCATACAAAGCACTTGCCTACTACAGTCAAAGAACAAGAGGAATCAATATATGTTAACTAGTAGATTGTCTACTAAATGTGTTTTGATAATTACCATTAGTAATGGCTATAATTTAAAAAATTAAAGAATTAATACAGTACCAATTTTAGCTTACTTTGTTCAAATTTTTATATTCAAAGTGAACATAACTTGTTTTTTTCTGATTACAAAAAATACATACTCACTAACATTCAAATTATGCAGAAAATTATAAAGGAAAAAGGGAAAATCATTCTTATTTATATATCCAGAGATTTATATTTCTATTACTTTAATATATATTCTCAAACACTTTTTTCCAAAACCAAGATTAATCTATCATATGTTTATCTCAGTTTTATTTATATATAATCATAGAGCTCTTGTTTCATGACCTATATTCATAAACTATCCATAAAAATGAAAATGTAGTTTTCTCTTTTTGGAGAAGCACTAGGGTAGAGGTGAAGATTCTAGCCCCATCCTGCCTGCATTCAAACCCTAGCTTTACAAATTATTAGACATCATCTTGGACAAGACATTCTTGCTCAAAAAGCACTATATCTTAGCTTCCTTACCTGTATAGTTATTTTAAATATTAAAGTAGTTAATATCTAAAGTACAATTAACAGTGCCTCGTATATAAAAGTTATCTTTTATTACACATAGTCCTACAAAGTGCCCATAACATATTGGTATATAAATTAAAAGCAGCTCATTGAACTATGGTAATTTTATCCAATTTGTATGAAATTAACAAAATATAGAATAATACACCTATATATTATTTTGTATACACATACATTAGCATAAAAGTATTTAGAAGGCTATACATAATTACTAACATGAATATCTCAAGAGATTTTCATTGGCTTTATAATGTTGCAATTTTTACAACTTTTATGCATATTACTAAGAAATCAATAAAAATAGTTCAATTTAGAAATGTATTTTTGAGAAAATGAAGAAAGAAAGAATAGAGAAAAACAACTAAACCCTTGGTTTTCAGAAAGATGACAATTGTTATTAGGTTGCATGGTGAGAAAAAGACTTCAGAATTTACAAAATTAAATGTAATATTGGTAGAACTATATTATAGTAAATCCAAAGTTATCATTTCCTCTTACTAAAGAGACATCAATTGTGTGATTTAAGTAAAAATGAGGGAAAAGGAAAAAGAGAACACATAAGTGCCTTTTAAAAATGCTAATACATATATACATGGAATACATAAAACCAAGGTTGTCACATTTATTACTGACAACTCTGTGAATGGCATAGAAAGGTGGCTGAAACATAAGCTACTAAACAATAATAAAACAACCATAACATATTTCCTTTTTTAAAAAATTGGGACAAGGATGCCATACCAAGATTGAAGAACTTTTAATATACAAATTGTATATATATTCTCCTTGTTTATAGAAGAATAATATCTATAAAATATAGAATCCAAGACAAAATTTTTGAATTTTATTTAATATTTTACTCCATTCTTGTCTCTCTGGGAATGAATATACACAAGTTAGCAAGTTACTTTAGCTAACAAATCAGTCTCAACTCTAAAATAGGGAAAATAACCTATGAGGATTAAGTGAGAATAAATGGTATTCATGCAGAACATGAAGACAATAGTACTTGATTGTCTATTGTTTACATAATAAGCTTAAATATAATCAATCTGTTTATTAATATTATTTAGTGTAATGTAAGAATGTGCTTTTACTCTATTTTCTATTTGTTTACATGTTAGACTAAAAAGAATAATGAGTTTGATTAATATTGTTTAATGTAATATATAAACCGTGCTTTCAGCACTTGAGAAACATACAAAGTAGCTTGTGGTGAGTTTTGGGGAAGTTGAAAATATTGTATCTTAGCTCCTTCCCCCACGCCATTTCTGTCCGTGTCTCTCTCAAATGCCATCAGTTACATAGAGAGTCCAAAATTTCTTACCTATGCTGATGACAGATCTGCATCTATTGTGATGTCATCAGTACTTTATGGTAACATTTCATTTGACATTTTTACCCTGGTTACAGTTTAAAGGACACTGTTTGTGGAGTAAAGCCTATCACATTATCAAAATATGTAACTAAAGGATTACAGTATGACTACCTGTGATTTTATTTCTATACTGCTGCCTTAAGAAGCAATGAGTAAATCTAAATTATGTCGTAAGACTTCTTTTCCAAGAAGCAATATATTCTGCAATCTTATTGACAAAACTGTTAAGAGACCCTCCTTGCAGTTTTTGGGTCAATGGGGATATCACTGTTATGAACCTAGGATTTACAGAACACTGGCAAAAATTCTGAGGTATGTCGACTTGGATGGGTTTGACATACTACTCACAGATTATATTGCATTTGTGGAAAAATCAGGATACCGTTTTGAACTAAATTTTAACCTTGAATTTACTGAAATATGTGTGAATACAATTCTGTACTGGGTTTTTGCCAGAAAAGGTAATCCTGATTTTGTGGAATTGCTTCTTAAGAAGACAAAAGACTATGTTCAAGACCGAAGTTGTAACCTGGCACTGATATGGAGGTAATAATCTTATGTTTTTACCATTGAAATTTTTACCTTTAGGAGATTATAATTCTTCTTTTCTCTTCAATTAATAAGTATAGTTGCTGTATATAGATGTGCATTTATTCACACCTGAGTCATAAATCCTGACTCAACTGCTCATTGTTCACTCCTTTATTTCTTATGTAGTTGATAAACTTTTACCTACTTGAACGTAGTTATGTACTAATAAAATATTAGTGGTTCTGCTTTATATAGTTTACATATTAGGGATCAATGTAATGCAATGTTACAGAATATAGGTTTCTTTAATAAGACAAAACATTGTTTTGTGTGATACTCTGATCTTTTTGAGAATATCAAATAGTATATTTATAATTCGTGTATTAGTTGACTTTCAGAGTACAATACAGAATATACAAACATATTCACTTAGTATTATTTATTAAACATCATAGTTCCCTATTTGTATGTTAAATGTTGATAAATTTGACTGCAAATTTTCCACACATGAGCACAAAGAAAATCAAGTTCCAACCGCAATCTGTTATAGGGCCAAATTTTTACATAGTCTGAACTTGTCAATTTACCTAATGACTACCTGAGGATCTCATAAAATAAAAGTGACCTCCTTGTAGAGTCTGTAACATAGTTTTTGAAGTTATCTAATTTGTATTAACTCCAACCTATTCTTTGCTTTTAGGTATTAATCTTATTAGAATAGATGTGCATTTATTCATTTGTTCAATGAAGTATTGATCATCATACTATATATGCAACATTGTGCTAGGCACAATGACAGGAGCAGGTGTACAAAGAAAAAACAGATCAATTAAAGACTAATTCAATTTAGGTTCTACCTGAAGCAGAGGTTTTTTTTTTGGACTGTGTATCACTGTGCTATTGAAAAACTCCTGGACTGTGTTTCTTAATGATTACCCAAGTACATGGACTGATAGCTATGGTTTGGAAATATCAATTTAAAAACCCCAAATAGCACTTTTTGTTGTCTTAAGTAACCAGTATATTTGTTAATACAGGAGACAGCAGCACTTCTAAAGCTGTGTGTCACAAACTTGACTAAGTAATGCCTATGTAAAACAGAAGTGAATAAAGAAAAAGAAATAAATATACAGAAGGGAGAGAAGAAAATTGGAATGAAAAAAAGAGAAACACACAGTAGAACACTACAGAGGGCCATGAACAACATTTTCTTTTCTTTTTGGTGCTGAGGATCAAACCCAGGGCCTTGTAAATGCTAAGCAAGTGCTCTACAACTAAGCTATTTACATCCCAGTCCCCATTATCAATTACTTTAAAATACAGTTTTGAAATAAATTTTGACTTAGAATCATATATAAGATAAAAACTCATTACAGGTCAATTCTATTTACTACAGCATCACTTGAATTTTTCAGAATCTTAGAATTTTAGATATGAATGAAGAATGAGAATTTTTTGGTAAACTCTAACTGTAGGCAGCAGCCTCTTGCATAGCATCCCTGGCCAATGCTCCCTGGTCTCTGAACAACTCTAATAATATAGAGTTAACTATTTCCAGGGATATATCAGTTCCTTGCCTGGAATCCTTTTGTTTCCCACAAAGCTTTACCCATTCCCATAATTTTAAATATTATGTATATACCAAAGTCTCCAAAAGCTTTATCTCTAGCTCTGACCTCTCTTTTCAGCTCCAGACTCCCTCTACTATCTACTTAACTTTGCCACTTGGTATGTCAAACTTAGTAAAAACAAAACAGAATATTGATCTAACTTATCCTTTTCCTTATCTGTTCCTCTCTGTGAGTTCCCCCACATGATTCACAGCTCCTTTTGTTCTACCCTATTGCTCAAGGCAGAAATCTGGGATTTATTCTTGATTATTTTCTTTCCTTTAACAACAAATGAGCAAGTCCTTTTGCCTATATCTGTAAAACATAGCCAATCAGTTCCATTTATTTTCATTTCCTTCTTTCTAACCTAAGTGAAGCTACCCTCTTCTCCTGCCTAGATATGGCAATAGACTCTTAGACTTCCAGGTTTCATTCTTCCCTTCCCACCCCTATAATCTATTCTTGACTTGGACATTTGAGTGACCTTTTTAAAACGTAAATTAGCTCATTATTACCCATATTCAAAATCCTCCAAAGTTTTCCCACTACAAATGGTATCAAACAATACCCCTTTTTATAAAATCCTACATGAATGGCCCTCAATATTTCCTTCAAATCTAGTCTCATGTTATTCTCTATATTTGATCACTATCATTGAACCCCACAGACCCTTCTTGAACATCTTAAAGTTCATTCCTGCCCTTGAGGCCTTATAACTGCTCCCTTCACCTGAAAAATCTCTTCACTCAGACATTCCCATAACTAACTTCTTCTTAACAGTTGGGTCTCAGTATAAATAAATAATATTTCCACAGAGAGAATTTCCTTAATCACCTATTCTAAAGAAGTTAATCATTATTAGAGCATTTTATTTCCATTCTCTGCACAGCACCAATCACTGTGTATTTGCTATCTGTGTTTCTTTCATTGATTTGTTTGCTCTCATTCTACCCTTAATAAAAGTAAGCTCTACGAGAACAGGAACTTTGACTACTGCATCACTGAATCCTCAGTGCCTAGAACTATGCCACATATTGAGCAAGTGCTCAACCAAGATTTTGTTGCATGAAAAAGTGAATTTTGATAGATTTATTTGATCCTTCTTTCTCACAGTGTGCTGAAATCTGCTTCCCTTTCTCTAATATGCCTTTCTAGCTTTAAAAAACAGCATACTCTTTCTTCTACATGGAAACCTCTCAAATATTTGAACACAGCTATTATATCCTCAAAACAATTACTTTAATTTCCTACTATCTGTTTATTTTTACAGCAGAATCATTCTTTGGTCACTCTCTGTTGTGTACACTCTAATTTGATAATATCCCTATTATAATAATGAACAGCTCATTATTACCCATATTCAAAACTTCTATACTACATTTACAAAGTCCCTGGGGTAGAGGAGATAGAATTAATGGGGAAAAAAGGAATTTGTTCATTTTTACAACAAACCAGCAACAAACATTCTAATGCCACAGTGCAACAGATTATAAGTGGCTAAAGGGAAATGATGTCATTCATTTAAAGTAACAATAATCATTTATTAAGCATTTTCTAAGTGTCAAGCTACATGCAACTTGTTGGAGATAGAAAGACAAAGGTAGTCATTTTTCTGATTTTGGAAAGCTTACATAATAGTGAGGCATAAATGGGAAAAAATTATAATTACACTCTAAGTGCCAAAATACAAGCTTCTACAGATAAAGCAGAGAAGGAAATTGTTAATACTATTGGGAAAGAGTGTGTATCAGAGAAAGTCTCTAGAAAAAGGGATGCATTCAATTGATTTTTAAAAGACAAAAATTTTCCCTTTTTTCCCCTTGAAAAAAAAATGTAATGTAGGCAGAGGGAAGGCAACTAAAACTAAGGGAAACACCACAATATGTTGTCTCCAATGACTTCAGGCAGTTCAGTAACAGCTAGAAAGTGAGATGAGAATCAGAAGTGGCTAAAGACTAAGCCCTGAATGAAAGCTTCAGGGGCTTTTATAGGCCATATAGAGGGATTTAAATGATATCATAGGGATACCCAGGCAATGAAGGTCAAAATTATAGAATGAAAAGAGGGAGAAATAATTCTGCTCTACCACCTTCCTCCCCAACCTTTACCACACTTCTGTATCACAACTGTCCAGTTAAGTCATAATAATAAACTGAAGCAGCAGCAGACAGAGAAAAAGAGAAATTTTAAAACAGAATAGTATATTATTAGAAGTGAAGAATCAGGGAAAAGTTAGTCTTTGATTTCTAAAAGTTCAGACTTGTTGATGATTGCATTAATTTCCTGTTGCTGCTGTTTTTGGGGTTTTTTAAAGGCACAAACTTAATGGCTGAAAACAACATGAATTTATAGTTCTGGGAGGCAGAAGTCCAAAACGAGTCTTATGGAACTAAAATGAAAATTTCAGAAGGTCTGACTACTTCTGGAGGCTCTAAAGCAGATCAGTTCTCTTACCTTTATCATCTTCAAAAGCCCACCTACATTTCTTGGCTCACAGCCTCTTCCTCCATCTTCAAAGCCAGCATGACTTCAGCAGCATGGTAGGGTCATCATATATCCTTCATTGACTCTCCTGCAATCATTCTCCAAAACTTCTTGTAAGGACCCTTGCAATTACCTGGATAATTTCCATCTCAAGATCCTTTTCCTAATCACATGTGCAAAGTTCCTTTTGTCATCATTTAACTTACCACACATGACCACAAGCCTCTCTAGACATTACAGGAATCTGAAAACTCAGTTTTAGGTGTAGGAGTTTGCACTGCCTAAGGGATATATCCAGGTAGAGATGTACAGTACATGGCTAGCTCTATAGTGTCATCCCTGATGTCTTTCTATTAAATCCCACATCTACTCTGTTAGGAAATTTGCTGCTTCTGTTTTCAATTTATGGAATAGAGCCACCTCCACTGTTGTCACCCTGTTCCAAGCTAAGTTGTTTTATTCCTTTTGTCCTATAGCAAGTTCTCAACAAAGTGCCAGTCATGCTACACTTCTAACCAAACTCTCCAATGGCTTATCCATTCCATTTAGAGTAAAAGGTGAAGTTCTTATAATAATCTGTAAGGTTCATTTCAGTGTGGTATCTCATTTCCTCTAATCTCATATCCTACCCTTCTTTGCCCTTTTCAACCTTTCAACCACACTTGGCTCCCTTCTTCCCCACTCCAGGTACACTCTCCTGCCTTAGGGCCCTTAAATATCTAAAGGGCACCTTATCCCTTTCTAGTCTTTGTTCAGATGTCATCTTTTAGTAAGGACCTCTTTTAGCATCCAATGTAAAAATGGAAAATGCCCTCAATACACTTCCCAGTATATCCATACTTCTTATTCTGTGCTACTTTTTCTATTTTCCACAGAATTTAGCACCTCCTAACATATAAAATTTGTTTGCTGTATACATCCTGTATTGTCAGTAATGGTTTACTATAACATAAGCAAGACAACAGAGTTTTTATTTATTCACTGATGTATCCAAAGCACCTAAAGCAGTGCCTAGCACATAGTATACATTAAATATTTGTTGAAATAAATGAGTAGACAGTAGTTGAAATTGTGGTCATGTATGAAATTTCCTGAATCAAATTAAAATTGTTCAAAAGGCCATATATTATTTAGATGATGAGGCAGAAGAAAAGGAGACTGTGCAGGGGAGTTGAGAAGGAATAGCCAAAGAGATAGATGGGGAACAGTGAGACAATAGTCTGAAGAAAAGGGAAACATGGATTCAAGAACCTCTGTGTTAAATACCACAGAGATAAAATTATATCTATATAGTAGATATAAAATTATATCTACTAAGTTTTGTCAGCTAGAAACCAAAGGAGAATGGTTAGAAAAAAATTAGAAATAATTATAGCTACAAAACGGAATCATCCTTTGCATGTCTATATGGAAATATTATGATCCAGTTTGCGGCAGTCCGGCTGCAGCAAAATAACGGGGGGGGGGGGGGGGGGGGGGGGGGTGACGAACAACTTGTGTACATTGATACAGCAGGAGTGGGAGCCATTTATTGTAGGACAGGAGGGGTATATATACATTCCACACAGCTTATCTTAATTAACATAAACTAGATACAGCAGTCAACCAATAAGGAATCTCCACACTTAATGGCTCCCTGGCGTTACTTCACAAACCACTCCCTCTGGCATTTTGCCAGGCGCCATCTTGACTTGTTTACAGACCCTAACACCAGTTCATAAGCATATATGACAGGTTTTCAGATACAGAGGGTTCAGTTCATTAGCCTTACATTTTAAAACTGAATTTTGCTTTGCTTGCCTTACTTTATCCATATCAATACTATTATAATTAACTGTCACTACAGATTAAGCAACTTTTGGTTTATAGTACCATTCTCTTTAAATATGATGATTAATCATATATCATTTGGATACTGATTAGACTTTTTAATTTCATTTTAAACTTATTTGAGTTTTAGTTATATTTTCAACATTTTGCAATATTCATTTAATATTTCTAAAGGTAATCACAATTTTAATTTATTTAAATCCACTAGTATCTCAAATCTTAAAAATGACCACTTAAGGTTTATTTTGTTCCTCAAGTCTCCTGAATTCCAATACTATAAAGTTAAGGCAACTTAGCTTTCTTAAGAAGTAGCAAGATGAATAAATTTTATTGGCTTTGGTAAGTTTAAATGATTGTATATCACCAAAAATCTTGTGAAGATTAAAGACAAATTCCAATTAAAAATATTTGAGTGCCTATATTATATATGCCCAGTATTATTTTAGGCACTTAGAGATACAATAGTGGATAAAAACCACAAAATTTCTGTCTTTTTGGAGCTTTGATTTTTTACAGATAATTTTGCTCAGCCATTTATTTTGTAAGATGATAAAAATGAAAGCTTAAAGGCATTTAAATAAGTTTTCCAAAATAATAAGAACTTAAGTGAGGTATGCTCAAAATGCCAAGAATAAGATAAAGTTCAGAGTATTCAAAGAAGATATCATGAAAGAATTTTTTGGACAGGGTCTTCTAAAATGAACTAGACTTAGCATTGAAAAAATAAGAGAACATATACAAAGCAAAGAAATGTGAAAGAGCTAAATACAATGGTAGTTTGGAAAACAGAATATCAATGATCGATAACACAAAAGAAGTAGTTTAAGAGTTCAATTTTGGTTACATATTAAAAGTATCTGTGAAAAAGATGATATGTCCATGAAAATATTCACCTCAAGATATTTCAGTAGAGAATGAGGATAAATACACACACACACACACACACACACACACACACACTGTGCTAGGGGCAAAGATTCACCTTTTGACTTCTAAAATGCTACTTTGCACTGCAACATACTATTTTTTTTCAATTACAAAATTCTGACATTTCAGAGCTCAGTGAAGCTTTGGAGATAAGCTAGTTAGTTTAATGATTTTCTAACAATAATTTTTGAAGTTCCTAACCAGGGAACTAATAGTGGGGAGGGCTCTAGCACCTTCAAATCCACTTCAACCAGAGATACTCCTTTTTCTGAGTTTTGTAGAATTCTTCAGATAAAAATAATTTGAAAACAATATATCTAAAACAAAACATTTATTTTATGTAGCTAGTCTTGTATAACAATCCCCAAAGCCAGTCTAAGTTCCTGGATAACCTACAGGAAGTGACTGTTCTAAGTAGAGTCAAGTGCCACTTCTCAGTACTTCTACATTACCTCAAGCTTACTTCTATTGCAGCAATTATTACCTTATATTTACTGTGTTGAATTACTTGTCTGTTCTTTATTAGACCAAAATAATCAGGGACTGCATCTTTAATCTCTATATAGCTACTTCTCAGTACATTCTGCACAAGCTAGTGTTAAACAAATCAATTAACAAAAGAATAAGCAAATTAGTACATAAATGCATGAAGAAATTGAGACAAAGAGAATGACTTACCCAAGATCACACAGTTAGGAGAAACTCCACTGTATACTGTTATATCATGCTGCCTTCCATCTTAATTAAATATACACAATCTTAAAGCTTCCTTTCCTTGCTCTGCCTAGTTGTCTCATACCAATATTTATACTTGTATGCTATTGTGCAGTGTATATTAGTATTTTATTAGGTCAGCCAAGATAATCCCAAAGGAAAGGATCATTAACCAAATTTCCCTTTCCGTGGTCTTAAAAGCCATGTTACTTGGCCAAATTTGACCTGTTAATATAGATTTCCATGTGATCAAAAACACCACCACCATGTTTACTCTACATTTACACCAACCAACTCAATAGTAAGCACCAAAGTCTACTAAATGAAACAATTACAAACACTGCATAACATTAGGAAAAAAAGTTCCATTCTGTCAGAAGAGAGGAAAATTTTTCAAGTGTAGCCATCATGCAGCACTCCAGGAAAAAAGATTTTAGAGGAATCAAAACTTTACTTCTGAAGAAAAATAAAATTCTGCCCTAAGGAACCTGATATAGCTCTCATCCTAATTTACATTTTTAAGCTCATTCTAATTTTATGAAAATGAAAAAATAGAATTAAGATAGCTATACTTACTCCTTTTTCACCTAATCTTCAATCTCAATTCAAGCTCATATGTGACACATGATCAAGAACAAAATCAAACAAAAAGATACCAAATGGTTCCATAATTCTGTTAACAAAAGTAAAATTGTAAAAAATAATTTTCCTTTTTAGATTTTTTCCAGAGCTTCACGAGTTTTATACTATGTTTCTAATCACTATGGCTTTCTCAAATGAGAAACACAGAATGGCTGTGACTACAAGTAACCCCTTTCCACACACTATAAATCTTTTTTGCTTACCTTTCTTCAAGTGTAAAGGGGACTTCAGATGTTTGGTAGGAGTTTTCTTTTATCCTTCAGTTTGGTCTAGACTTACACAATGAAAAACTCTTCATAAGGCATACTAATGTAAATGTAAATTACACTTTATATATAAAGGTAGACTTTAAAAGTTAAGACAATATTTAAAATAATGCTATTATTTTTCTATTACTATTCAAAGGATTTCTTAATTCTGTATTCAATAAAGTTTTTGTTTGTTTGACTCACAGAACTTTCACACCAGTATACTGTCCAAGCCCACTAAGTGGCGTCACACCTCTACTCTATGTAGCTCAGACAAGACAGTCTAACATCTTAAAAATACTCCTGCAATATGGAATCCTAGAAAGAGAAAAAAACCCTCTCAATATTGTCTTAACAATATTGCTGTATCCTTCAAGAGTGAGAATAATGGTTGATCATGAATTGATTGACATTGAGGAAGATGCCAAAACATGTTTAGTGTTATGTTCCAGAGTGCTTTCCACCATTTCAATCAGGGAAATAGAGGTAAGTAAAATATTGTTCTCTGGGTTTTTCTACTGATGATGAATTTTAAGATAAAACTGCGGTGGTAAAATTAAAAAGTTAATTTTAACCTACAGATTATATCCTGTGACAAATTAATCATATGCTTATTAATTAAAAATTAGAGGCAAAATCCAAATTAGCTAAAAATTAGTCCTTTACTTTATAATTTTGATTTCCTCAATATGGAAGAATTTTAAAAGTTAAATTTACAGTTTATTTAGTGTTACTATATAGTTGTATATTATTAAATATTATTAACATAAGCCGCTGTGTTTATTAAGAATTCTGTCTCTTAAAAGCAAAATAGAGCAGGGCATAGCGGCACATACCTATAGTCCCAGGCTCAGAAGGCTGAGGCAAGAGGTTTGCAAGTTCAAAGCCAGTTCTCAGCAACTTAGTGAGGCCCTAAGCACCTTAGCAAGACCCTATCTCAAAATAAAAAATAAAAGTTCTGGGATGTAGCTCAGTTGTTAAGCACCCCTTGGTTCAATCTCTGTGTCAAAACAAACAAACAAACAAAAAGCAAAGTAGATTAAACATTTTGCAGACCTCTTTTCCAATAAGATATTTAGAAATGAAAGTTGCATTTCTCTTTACAAATAAAATCACATACTAAGAAACATATTTTTTTCCATTCAAAATTCCAAACACTTCTAATCATTATAAAGACATAAAGTCTTAAAATATTTGTTCTAATAATATATATCTCAGAAGTGGTAAAGATCTTCTTCTAAGGTTTTCAAAATAAACCAGGCTTAGAGAAAAAAAAATTGACCATCTATATAGAAAATTTTCACCCTTCAAAATGAACAGCAAGTTCTAGAATCAAATTGTACCATGCCCACTAGTAGAAAGAAATGCCTTTTTAAAGTTATTCCTATAAACTTAAACCAAATTACTAAGGAATGAACAGTTCTCCCACTCTTTAAATAAAAGAATGAACAATTCTCCCACTCCAGAAATAAACTAATAGAGATATAACTCTGCTGTATTTTTTTTTCTTAGTGACTCAACAGTAAATAGCAATGCCTTTGCCAATTGTAAGGAAAACAAGTAGGTCAAATTATTTTGGCAACCCACTTTTAAAACAAAAATAACTTTTTTTTTGCATTTTCAGCAACTTGCTTGTCCTTGTTCAGTGTTAGTTCTGCACAATTATTCCAGAACGTATCAATTTTCAACCAATTCCATGAATGCTATTACTGAGGTATCACTACAGGAAGAAAATACTAGGATAGAGTAAGTTGACCAAAATTACCCACCTGAGTGGCAAAGAATTTCCAATCAATTGCAGTTGAATAAGTTAAAATAGCACTGTGTAAGAAGATAAAGGATTAAATTGCTTGAAAAAGAACACTTCCAAGTAGGTTCCCCATCATAGCACATATATTTTATTGTAAGTAAATGTTTAGATATCTCGATGTCTACACCATGGGTCTTAGCACAAAAACTGTGTCTCATTTATATTCCCTAGCAATTATCCCAAATGCCTATCACAATGCTGAGGATATATTAGATATTCTTTAAGTAACTAATGATTGAATAAATAATGAATGTGTATGTATCTAATATAGTTAAATAATTGAAAGTGTCATGGAGCCTGAAGAGTATAGGTTTTACTAGGAAATACATTTGTAATACAGGAATACCAAGTCAATCTATTAACATTTTGACCTCTAGAATTATATTTTTAAAGAGATACCTTCAAAAAAACTTAATTATTTTTTTAATTTGGAGAAGCCTCTAGTAAGCCTTCTATGTGTTAATTTTTACTCTACAGTGGCTGGAACCACCAGGGAACAACTTCTAGGATTTACATTGTCTGTGTCCAGCTTTAGACCCATAGAATCAATCTCTGAAATAGGTCCTAAGCATTGAAAATCTTTACACCCACTAATATATGGCCACATTAACAATAAACTGATAAAATATAAGTATGATCATATAAAATTAAAAATTTACTTAGCCATAGTGGTAAACAATTTGGTATGTATTCTTACAAACACTATTTAAACTTTATCATTGTTAGTAATAAAATGGGAAAAAAAATACCTGCCTTGGGTGAAAATATTTTTGAAAAGGCTATAAGAGTTAAATAAATTTAGCATTTTTTTCTGAATTTGAGTAAAAAAAATAAAACTGCTAAAAATTTGGACTAATCCAATGATTAACATGACAAAAACTTTTCCCTTATTTCAGACACAACTGAGCTTAGGAAGACATCCAGTTATTTCAAATTGGTTGGAATACATTCCTTCAACAAGATACAAAGATCCATGTGAACTATTACATCTTTGCAGAATAACCATCAGGACTCAACTACTAACCAACAATATGCTCCCAAATGGAATATTTTCACTCGTAATTCCTGTTCATCTACAGAGCTACCTGAATTTAGAAAGCTAATATGCATCTTTATCCTAAGTCCTTTAAAGATGCTCACCATTGTGCCACTTTGAAGTTAATAAATTATTAACTTCATGAAAGTTTTTTTGAGGTTCATTATATACAAGGACTTTATTTACCTTTGCAGTTATTCTATGTCCAAATACAGTCACATGTTGAGGTTCTGAGGGTTAGAACATCAACATATATTTTTTGGGGGGGACATATTCAACACATAATAACTTCTAACTAAAAAATCAGATCAGTCACTAAATTTGGTTCAGTCACTAAATTTCTTTTTTCTTTGAAGTAAATGTCTTTTATCCCTCACCAGTCATTCTACCCTCTCCAGTCTCTTTACCTCACACAAACATTGTTTCTACTTTTAACCCTCATCAATTCTACTGAAATATTCTCTTAAACTGATCTCTGACTCTTGTTTCAATCTCATCTTAAAATCATTTATACTACCAATCGTGTTATATTATTAAAATGTAAATATAATCATGGTGTACACCCACCACTATCATCACCACCACCCCTTTCCCACTGCTCAACAACAAAAACATTTATAAAATGCTTATTGTTTCATGCCCTTGGTTCTACATATTGCTGATCCTGCTATCTAAAATGCCTGTTCCTTCCTGAATGTTAGACATATTTTATTCTTTAAACTCCCTTTGAGCCACAGAAATAATATTCTTTGTAACAATATTATATTACTGTAATATATTACATTATTGTACTTACCACATATATCCAAATGTATGTGTTTTTTCTCTTTACTACTTCTGGGGTTCTCAAAATTAGATGTCATATCTTTTGTATTTCCAACATCTAACGTGTTGACTGGTCTTTAGTAAATATTTATTGAATTAGATTTCCTTTGTGGCTTTCTAACAGTAAGACAGTATTCTAAAAGCTTTTGCTTGAAGGGACAGATTTAGAAATGTGCTGTCAGAGAGTAGGCTAAAAGAAGCTAAAAATAATTTTTAAAAAAGAGAAATAAAACATCACTGCTGGATAACGAATTACCAGAATAACTTTAAATTTCCAACAAAGTGTTGCTCAATACACAGCTATAAGAATGACTAAATTTTGAGTAAGAGCTCTAACAATACCATATACTAGTAAGCATGAGGAGCAACTAGAATGCTTATATATGGCTGATGGGAATGCAAAAAATAACAGCCATTCTGGAAAACAATTTGGTATCTCCTTATGAAGTTAAACATAAACTTACCATAGGTCAGAGAGTTGCTTCCTATTTAATTTAGGTAAATGAAAATGTATACTCCCACAAAAATCAGTACAGGAAGATGTATAGTAACTTTATTTATAATTAACGAAAGCTGGAAAGCCAAATGTCCTTCCAAGAATGAATGCTTAAACTAAAGCACATTCAAAGTAACCCTTGTCAGCTAACAATAGAAAGGCATAACAACAGGGGCAAATCTCAGGGTTATATACTCTATGCAGGTATCCATTAGGAATTCTGGAAAGCAAAAACAAAACAAAACAAAACAAAAAAAACTATAGGGAAAGAATGTAGGTCTGTGGTTGGTGGATTAAAGTTAGGGACAACGCCAGGGTAATATTTTGTAGTGATATAACTTTTATATCTCTATTGTGGTGGTGGTTACATAAATCCACAATATGTTTTAGTTAGCTTTTTCACTGCTGTGACTAAAAGATCTAATCAGAACAATGATAGAGGAGGAAAAGTTTATTTGAGGGCTCACGGTTTCAGAGGTCTTAGTCCATAGGAGGCAGGCTACATTCCTCAGGGCTAGAGGTGAAGTAGAACATCATGGTAGAAGAGTATGGCAGAGGGAAGCAGCTCACATGATAATCAGAAAGGAGTGGGGGAGAGGGGAGGAAGAGGGAGAGAGGGGGAGGAGAAGGGAGGGAGGAAGAGATAGAGAGATAAAGAGAGAGAAAGAGATTCCACTCTTCAGATACAAAATATATACTCCATAGTCATGCCCCCAATGAACCACTTCCTCCAGCCACATCCCACTGCCTCCAGCTACCACCCAATTAATCCCATCAGGGATTAATTCATTGATTAGGTTAAGGCTATAACCCAACCAATTCTCCTCCAAATCTTGCATTGTCTCCCATGTGAGCTTTTGGGGGATACCTCATATTCAAACCATAATATATATTAAAACTCATAAAACTGTACCCAGAAAAGTTGATTTTACTGTTTGTAAATTTTAAGATGAACACTTCCTAAGCATGAGGATAAGCTTCCTTTTTCCTCCATTTCCACATATCTTACTCTAGACTTGAAAAGACTACCTTATACAGGACTTTATCCTGTGAGGAGAAAGGTAGAATGAACTAATAGAATGGCTTTGAGGTAGAGTTAAAGGAATTACTACTAAGGCATAATAGGTATTTATGTCAAAGGCTGGATTATGAGATAGTCATCTTATTTTGAAAAAAGACAAAGAACTGAAAAGCAGAATAGATCTGAAAATTAAAGAATGGATTGTGCCCCCCTGTATTCCCTCTCTTTGTGACATAATTATATCTTCCTTTGATTTGCTTTCTGTTATGTTTCTGCTACACATAGAATAGTTTAAGAAAAAGTAATTTAATTTTAAGAAGATATAAAGCTATTTCTATTTCAATATCTCAAATCTAAAATAAGAGGGATTAATCATTGGCTGCAGTTTTTGCATCAAAACTTTAACTGAAAAAATTTCTTAAAACTCTAGTGGAACCTAACATTAGGGTTAATTCTACAAGGAAGCTAATGCATTTGAAGAAATGATAGTCAGCATGTTTGATACTTTTCACCTGTTTCTGCTTGTCTGTTTTTCTTCTACTGCCTATTCCTCTTCTACCTTTTACTACTTCCTACATTTTCTTTCCCACTCTCCCAATCTACCATGACCTTTTACTCCTCCGTGCCTTTTAGAAATTTGTCACAAGCCTAAATTATGTCTTTAGGAATAATCACATAAAATATAATTCAATACAAACACTGTGAATTAAAATGTGGCTAAGGTTAAAATACAAATAGAGTGATATTCTTTTTCTAAAACATAACAATAGAGAATATAAATAGTCTAACAAGACATTTAATACATATTAAGTGTAAAACACTAATTTACATGTACTTTTTCAAGGAAGTATGTAAGTCATTTAAATTATAACTTTTTCAAAATACCTGGCTACTAATATTAGAATACTTAGAGCAAGTTTAATAAGGTCAACAAATTTAAATCTTATAAAATGTAACATGCATATGTCAACAAAATATGGCCTTAATCAGTCTGTGAATAATTTTTTGCTAAATTACTATTGATACTACAGTTATTGAATAAATAGTTCAAATGTATACTCTGATTTCCATATACTTAGTTGCTGTTATAATTTGAATTTTCCCCAAATGTGTTTCAACAAGGACCTCAATGCAGCAATGTTTAGAGTTGAGACTCTTGGGAAATGATTGGATCACAAGCACTCTTAACTCCATCAATGAATTAATCCATTGATGGGTTCATAATTTGATGGCTTTACTGGAGGTGGTGAAAACTTTAGAAGGTAGAAAGCAGTTGGAGGAAATTGGTTTCTGACAGCATGTCCTTAAACAGTATAATATGTTCTAGGCTCCTTCCTCACTCACTTTTTGCTTCTGGCCACTATGTGGTTAGCAGCTTTCACCATGATGTTTTGTCTCCCATAGACCAGCTAACCATTGACTAAAATCTCTGAAATCATAAGACAAAATAAACCTTTCCTCCTTTATTTTATTTTCTCAGGTATTTAGTCATAGCAACAGAAAAGAATAACAGTTGCCCAAGAAAAGACTAACTTCCTTATGTTAGGCCTTTATACTGTGATTATGTGAATAAGTCACCTACTGAATATGGAAATAAGATGCCTGAGAAGACTCTTTCTAATTAATTAATAACTGGTAGTCTTCTGTTTTCTTCTGCCCATTTATAAAATAAGAATAACCTTTGGGTAAACTCAGAAATGGTTGTATAAGCCACATGCCTCTGATAAACAGCTCCTTTGTAAAACAACAAATGGGGTAAATAAAAAATACTGTATTTCCTTTTTACTGCCTTTTATTTACCTAATAAAGATGATCAAGACAAAAATTAGAAAAAAGAAGAAAGTAAGAAAATATTGAACTACTGGATGTCTAGAAAATTAAAAGGATTTAACATTACAAAATGCTTATTTCTACATCTAGAATGTCCAAAAGAGAACGTTAAAATTCTCAGTAGCATTCTAACATCAGAATCATTTATAATTGGAATCTAAGGGTATCAATTCAGCAATTGTTGAGTTATAAGGTATATTACTTCAGAATAGAATGTTAAAAAAAAACTCAAACAAGTTTCCAGATCTAAAAAGAAAGGATTTTTTTTAAAGTTAAGGTATATGTAATATTTTAAATTATAATTTATAAATGCAAATAAACTTAGCAATGTGATTTTCATAAATGAGAGAAAAGTTATGCCTTATACTTTTTTCTAACATAAAGATCATTCCTTTAAATAGTTCTCATTTGTTAAATTAAAATAGCAATTTTTTGTTCATTTTAGAATATTTAGATGAAAATTCTGAGGTTAATATAATATGGTTTTTAATTAAAATATAATATTTAGTAAATATTTTCTTTTGCTCTTAGGAGATAAATTAATTCAAGGTTCCTGATATAAAGATATATTATTTCATTAGTATAAAATATGACTTGTATTATTCTTCAGTTTTTCCTGGAACTTGCTCAGCCTTGCATAAATCTTCTTCATATTTCTTCTTGAGATTATTTAAATACATCCGCAAACTGTCTGGATCCAATTGAGAATTTCGAGCCGTTTGAACAAGTCTTGTGGCTAGATGATACACAGCTCTCTGTCTTTCCATCTCCGGGGTACTCCTTTGGTGCTGCTGTTATTAAATATCCACAGATATAAATTTAAAATGAATACAATTTTATTTAAATCATAGTTTGACACTGTTCTACATCTATAGAAATATGGAGGAACTCAAAGATAAGAATCAGTTCCATCCAACTAGTAAAAATAATACACTAGAAGAAATTTTTTAAATTCTATTTGGAAGAATAAAA